GATTATCTCAAAACGGTTTGCAAAGAAATGATATGCCATTTGGTAATCGTTTACACGAAACAAGTAGCTAATGTCCATAAAAGAAATTTTCCTGAACAGTTGATATTAGAAAGACAAAATATCGATGATCTAATAACTGGGTGTTGAATTAATGGTAAATTTTTATTTAGTTGGGAACACTGTTAACCAAGAGGCCACCTGACTTTCATAAACATATCTCTGAGCAGTAACCTAGTACAGTTCAACCGACTATGATTCTTAACCCGGACAAATTCGCTCAAGAAGCTTAAAGCATTTTATGATCCAAGACGATATCAAAATATGTGCACTTTTGAGGCAGAAACAGCTTGCTGGCATGCATACGCTTCTAAGCAACTCAGTTGAAAAAAGACGAAACACCCGTAGAGTTTTACGAGAAAAAGATAAGAACAGGCAATTAGACATTCCGCTCGCTAACCAAAAGTGGGGAAAACGTTCAAAATCCTCCAACATATACAAAATGATTCACTGTTTGTGAGCTATTCAGGAATATATATATATATATATATATATATATATATATATATATGAAGCCAAAACGTTTATCAGGCCTGCTGTATAAGCTTCAATACTATGTGTGGTTATCATAAAGTAACAAAGGATGACATTTTTTGCTACATAACTTTGCACAAGTACTAGAGTTGGCTTTACAATGATACTGCCTTATTGAAAAGTGGTACGATCACACACAGAAGTCTCAATCAATAGATTATCTGACTAAGAGACCCATAGTAACCTAAGGATAAGCACCATATTTCATATTCTTCCTGATCTCATTTCATAACCATCTTCAATGTATTTTAACTGGGTGAGTATTCAGACCAGACGCTAACTAGTTTGAAAATCCTCAAATACTAGATTGCGAGACGAAAGATTATTCGCAAGACGACTTTTTTTATTGTCAAAATTGATAATAATATAATAAAACCGTTATAATAAAACGAAATAGAAATATACACCAACGAAATCTAAGAACTTACTCGAAAGAGGCGGAAATGTTTAGGGTGACCTTGATTGGTTCAACAAAACCCCAATAAGTACATTTCGCCACACTAAAATCAGTATTTAACTAAAGTACTTGTATTCAAACTGTTGCAACGTATTTTTAAGCTTTTTAGAGACATGTAAAATAATCGTATAAGCGTTCTGTTCGAAGTCATCTTTTCCTTCCACAGTAATTTCATGATACGGTTGTTCATTAGTCTTATGACTGAGACTCAATATCTTTTGACAGATGCAAAGGTTGTGTCTTTTTGCTGCTAGCGACTATGTTGTGAGCATTTTCCTGTATGTCGAGTAGTCTACTTTGGAACGGAAAAATTGTGCCACCGATATCACAGTTATCGTCCGCATAGTTGTATTTCATGATCCAACAAGCATTGTAGGTAAAAAATCAGGCATAAAACGTTTTACAGTAAATAATTTCCAGTTTATGACTCATCAAGTTCAGTCTTCTGATCAGGTACAAAGGATCCCTGGTTGTTTGTTGAGACGAAGGGATTAGTTGGTACTTTATGATAATAATAATAATCTAATAACACGCAGGTATGAGAAAAAGAAGTTGAAAATATAGGAGTCGGGTTTCCAGAACCCGAACACTCGATCTTCGAATCATTACACGTACTAAATGTTTTGTAAATCCTTACCAGACTGTTGATTATCTGTATAATACTAAAAACTAAATGAAGAGGATCGGTTGGTGTGATTGCTGGACCTGTATATTTTGGCACATCGGTGAATAAGTAGGATTTAGTGTCCATGACCACATACATAAATAATGTTGAAGAAATAATTAGGAAGTACAGTGTTTCCAAATATGTACAATTTAAGCATATATTTGAATATTTCACAAATTATCTATTTCAAGATTTGTGGTATTCGTTTTTCGTTCATCTTTTGCCATAGTGATTAACTTTTAGCTTAGCTCCGGTGGTTCAAAAGACTGTGACGGGTGTCTTTGTTAACCTCGAATTTTTACTATACATTTATAACTGGAAACCTGACTGGTTTCTTTGTTTCGAAATAAAAGGATCTCCCAACACACCATTGTGTATATCGTCCATGAAAACGTGTGTTACAGGACAGTACATAGTAAGATATTTATGAACAATGTTTAAACGTTCAGTACTGATGAAATATTCATGTGTTGTGACTGAAACATCCCTGTTTTACATTTAACTGACTAAAATTACCATTTATCAAGAAGAAACTAGTTGATTATATAGGATTCCAATTATTGAAGGATATAATACCTTTACATTCAAATTTACTTCTTTCGGTTTAAGTCCAAAGCATACATGTGATCTCAGTGTTAGTTCCACGTATTTTTTGTGTCGCGATTACTTGCTAGAGCGTCTGTCCTCTAGTCTTAAACTTTAAATATATTTGAAGGTCAAGTAATTTGCCTTTAAAAATAAATACGCGTGCAAGACTCAATTTCTCAAATATATCGAACTGCAGAAACTTCGTTTTCTTATTGAACTTCAATATCACTGTAAGAAGCAGTGCTTATCGTAATCAGCTCAATTTTTTCCACTTCTTATATATTCAACAAAACCTACTAGAGATTGCTTGAAACTTACAGTCAGGCATTTATGGTTATTATATGTTGATGCTCACATATAAAGTTGTCATGTTTTTGCGGCTGCAATTAAACGCAACTCAATTTCGTAAATGTGTCCTTCAGCTTACCAACCAATCAGAATGAGGCGGGAATTATTACATCCGCCATCTTTGTAAGCAATGGCGGTCGGCTTTCTTCGTTCTGTGTTTCTTTCAGCTATTTCTTTTGTGTAGCTATGTAATTTAATGTCTCAGTGTGCTAAAATAATGCAGTTAGTGTAATGTTCTATATGTTGGTGTGAAGTTTATTTCGAATCAGCGATGTTTGCTGCTTCTACTCAAGTCAATGTATTTCTTCAGGCACTCTGGCTAGTCTTGTGTTATAAAATGTCGGCCGGCTTTCTTCGTTCTGTGTTTTTCCGCTATTTCTTTTGTGCAGCTACAGAATTTGATGTTTCAGTGTGCTGAAATCCAGAAGTCAATGTAATGCTCTGAACGTTGGAGCAAAATTTTTCCTGATTTTGCTTTGTTTTCTGGGTTTTACCTGCTGCTAATGAAGTCACTGTATTTATTCAGCTAAGCTGGCTAGTACTAACATAAGACCTTACGTTTTTAAACGACAATCGGTTATGTTTTACCTTGTTTTCTAGATATCCGAAGCCGAAGTTCGTTTTTATTTAGCTAAAATAATTGTTGCTGCCGCCTGTGACTCTAAGTGTTCGCATGTTCGTTCCTAACTCTCCTTTATGATGTTGTCGGCAAAATGAAAGGAAACAATCTGCGTTTTTTTAATTTTCCTCAGTATTATGGACAACACTATCCCACCAACGAGTCAAACTAATACAGTGCCCAGCACTAGGGTATATCGGTACTGATTTCGAAAGAACCCAGACTTCTGACAACTATAGATGAAGTCGCAGATGCTACCAATCTATTGCAGAGGGTTTGTTATGAAAAATATGCCATATAACAGTAAAAGAGGGGTTGTACTCATTACTCAGTGCGTTAAAGCAAGCTTAACATTGAGAAGCCGGAAATCTGCTAACAGTGTCTAGTGTATGTTTTCTGTTTTGGCCATAAAAGGAAGCCGAAGGGTCATGATCAGGGGGTAAAAAGGTAATTAACTGTTATAAAGCTCACTTTTTTATAGGTTATATTTCACCACTCGCAAATTTGTGTTTTCTTACGGTATGATGTCAACTGGTACCTAATATGTTCACCCTTACGATGAAAAGTACCTGCAAATTTTCACCTTCATATTCGAATTATTTTCGGACAACTGTCTTACAGTCTGAGTGCTTCGTACGCCCCGAGAAACTATTTCTACAACATTCGTAGTTCAAGTATAACTTTCTCACGCACGAAGTTCAAATTAGACACTAGTCTTTCTAAATAAGGCTGTTAAGCTAATATCCGTATTCTCTATTTCAGTTAACCGATAAAGACATGTACCACGTGCATCTGCTGTATACTGCCATTTTACTCCAATTCTAACTGTTATATTTTACTTTTGAATAATAAAATTGCTATATGCTGCAAATACAGACTTATTTGTTTTGATGGAGGTAGGGGGGTTCATGGGATTTTCACTAAAGAGCTAAGCGAGTGCGAAAACCAGTGTAAGGTACCATACGGGGTTTATTTGAGTTATTAGTGTTCCATTAGTGCGGGTAGGGGCATTGCTTGCTTGTCATATGGCATTTGAATTAGAAGCTATCAGATAAGAAGCAGATACGGTTAGGATGTGTAACGTGTGTCCATCCATCAGCTGGCGTGACAACCCATGGTGGTTAGAATAAGCTATGAGAGGACCCGAGTCTGTGGGTCCCCCAAGGAAATTACGAGGATATGCACCAAATCACCTTATGAAGAGCGCCTCAAATCACTTAACCTCTACTCATTACAGTATAGACGTCTTAGAGGTGACCTAATGGCTTACAATAACCTTAACACTTCTGGACATCGCCTAAAACACCTAATTAAGCTTAGTTCGAATAATAACCTAAGGGGTAACACCCAGAAACTAGAGACAAAACATAGCACAACGGACTGTAGGCACAACTTCTCCTTCTTAAGAGTTGTCAAATGCTGGAATTTTCTGCTGGCCAAGCTAGTCCAAGCTACTTCCCAGGAGTCCTTTAAGAGGCAATTGGGTTTATTCTTAAGGACTAAGTATAGTATCACACTATGATTTACCAATTTCTTTTTCCTCTTTTATTGTTAACATACCTAGTTTTCTCCCTTGAGGTATGGTGATCTCCTGCTACTAGACACGGAAGTCTGTCAAGCGAAAGCTTCTTCTATTCAGTCCACAACCATTTGAACACATGAACTAGGTGCTGAGAGGCTCGCTTATCACAAGTTTCTTGTGACGATTAAGTAGATAAAACAAAGTAGCATCAGATTCAAAAATTTATTCAAGAACTTTCATTAAGAATCGAATATCAAACAAAGGTTTAAACCATGTTCCCGTTTAAAAGTTGTTTTGGTAATGTTAAGCTGCAGTTTTTGTTGTTTTTTTCCAAATGAAAGAGTAAAAGAAGTCAAAAAATACTGGAAGTGGTTGTGAGACTAAAATGGACGTCCAGCATTCTTTTTATAATCTGCTATTCGTTGGATCTCCCGTAAACAGTTCCATAGGGCCATAGTTCTAAGGGCGAAACAGTTTTTATGATCTGCGAAGACTCACTCCTGTTGCATTCTAAACGAAAAAATGGTGATGAATTTAGTCAGAAATTTGGAATATATAAATAACCAAATCACACGTTTTTTAGCAAAGAATTTATGCAGTTGTGATTTACCTTGAGTTCATGAATATTAGATAAGGTCAGCTACTATTACTTGCGAAAAGCATAACATGGGCTTCGTACCGTATTGCAATGCTGTTATTATTTTGCTCCCATTTAAGTATTCCTATGCATCTGAGTCTAGTTTAGCAGGAAAACATACAAGCAGAGTAAGTGTCTGATAAACTAAAAGTCCCAGTTGTCAAAAAGATTCTTAACATTTGTCCACAGCCAGCTGCATTTAATTGAGACACAGAAACCTCATCTTCTAAGACTGTATACTGCTCTTCTGCAGGCAAATAAAAGCTCAGACACTTAGCTATCTTGCTACCGATGTTATTGCTGGGGAAATTGTTTAATGACAGTGATCATGAAATATGGTCAGCGACAGATGTACAGTTTAGAAATAAACACCAAACATACTTATCGCTATCTTATAATGTATGACAGCAACAGTATCAAAGGCACGTTTTTTCCTATTTTTAATCAGATTGATCTGAATCCGTATACACATTAGAAACAGGCAACTTTACTTACTAAACTGACCTGTTTATATATCATAATTCTTTCAACTAAACTGCATTCAAATGGTTCAAATGGTTGTGGACGGAATAGAAGAAGCTTTCGCTTAACAGGCTTCCGTGTCTAGTAGCAGGGGATCACCAAATCCTCCAGGTAGGAACCTAGGTATGTTAACAATAAAAAAGGAAAAGAAATTGGTAAATCATAATGTGATGCTGTTCTTGGTCCTTAAGAATAGGTCAAGTTGCCTCTTGAAGGACTCCTGAGAAGTCGCTTGGACTAGCTCGGCTGGTAGCGAATTCCAGCTTTTGACAACTCTTAAGGATAGAAGTTGTGTCTACATTCCGTCTTGCTATGTTGTGTTTCCAGTTTCTGGGTGTTACCCCTTAAGTTATTATTCGAACTAAGCTTAAGTAGGTGTTTAAGAGGATGTCCAGAAGTGTTAAGAATACTATAAGCCATTAGTAAGTCACCTCTAAGACGCCTATATTCTAGTGGGTAAAGGTCTAGTGAACGGAGGCGTTCTTCGTAAGGCTTAGATTTGAGTCCTCGAACTGATTTCGTGGCTCGCCGTTGGATACGCTCTAAAGTGACCTTGTCCTTTTGGAGTGAGGGGGGGAGTACTATGTTTCCGTACTCTTAGTGCGGACGGATGAAACTATTGAAGATTGTATGGAAAGTTCGTCCGTCAAACTGTCCAAAAATGCGCTTCAACGTTACCAGTGCAAGGTTTGCTCGGAAGGCATTTTTGTCACAGTTAGCGTAAGACTTCAAGTCATGGGGCACCAGGACTCCTAAATCTTTTTCGACTTGGGATACTACTAGAGAGGAGTTTCCTAAGTTGTAACTGTAGTTTGCGACATGTCGCAGATGGACTACTTTACACTTTGAAGTGTTAAAGGTAAGTCCTTTATCGTCTGCCCAACTTTGAAGTCGATTCAGATCCTCCTGAAGTGCCTGTATATCGTCTTGGTTGCGTATCTCTCTCCAAAGTTTCACGTCGTCGGCAAAAAGTAATAAGCCTGACGTTACCTGTTGAGGAAGATCATTTATGTAGGTCAAGAAGAGAAGAGGCCCATAACTCGAAGGTTCATTGCGTCGACCACCTTTGAAAATTGGTGTGATGTGAGCCAACTTCCAGTTTTTCGGTAACTTGCCTCGGCTAAGCGAGTGTGAAAACATCACGCTAAGCGGCGTTGCCAGGATTGAGGCTGCCTCCCTCAGTATGGCAGGATGAACCATATCCGGGCCAGGAGAAGTGTCAAGTCTTAAGTGCTGCAATTTCCGGAACACCAAGTCAGCGCTTAGGTCCACCTCAGAAAGTCCTGTGGAGTTGGAGATGAAACTGTCGTCAATAAAGTTGATGTCAGCCGGTTGAAATGTTTGAGAGTAATGGGCCTGTAACAGCTCAGGTTGGTTGGTTAAGAGTTGACCCCAAACAACCAAGCTTATGCCAAAACAGTATTGTTCAAGTATTCATTCACTTCCTTATTTTTCATGAGCGTTATATTCCCTATTATCTTGAATGTTGAGAGCTTTTGTTTGTCTGAACAGATAATCCCACGCTCCACTGTGACTGCGCGAAGATCGAAATAAAGACCTATTCACTACTTCTCTGGTTTCTTCTATCAATAGCACGAGGGTTACCTTAAGGCACGAAAGGCCGCCAGAAGGTTAGTGGCGTCGCCATCGTTGTTGGTCGGGCCGTTAAAACCTAGCAGTTGAGAAACTCCTGTTTTGGCTTGACGAAGAGAGGCTGCATAACGGAATAGGCTTCTAGGGTTAGAGGCGAATTTGTCCATAAGCTTTGTTTGGTACTGAAGCCTGTCTTCTCTTATAGCCTTCGTGCATGTGTTCCTGATATGTTTGTATTGCCTATACGCTCCATCGTTATTAGTTCGTTTGTATTCCGCCCAACAGTGCCGTTTGCGGCTTAGGAGGCGAAGGGTACGGTTCTTGATTACAGTAGGTGGCTTGAAGCTTTTGGGAACCGTTTGAGGAACTGAATGGTCTGTAGCACATAAGAGCGTGTGCATTAAGAAGTCCCAATGACCATCCACATCGATTTGAGGGTGAACATCCCAAACCACCTGTTGTAGATAGTCATGTAGAGCTGGCACATTCATCCGTTTAAAATTCCAACGCAAATTATTGTTAGGATACCTTAGCTTAGTTTTGACGACAAAACTGAAGGCTATGACGGCATGATCGCTTTTTCCCAGAGGAGCCAGGATTGAGAGGTTGTCGACTAGGAATTCTTCGTTAGTGAATACACAGTCTAAGCGCGATGGTGTCTGACTGTTTCTCCAACGAGTTGCCGACCTCACATTTTTGAACAATCCCAAGTCATCGATGAAGTTGAAGAACCGAGCTTCAGTTGAGTTGTCGCCTCCAGTGTACGTGTGTTCCGCGAAGTTGACTCTAGGGAGATTAAAGTCCCCTAGAATCAGGATGTCTGTGAAACCGAGACGGATAGAGCGGGATAGTCCTTCCAGCATACGAATATCGTACTCGGTGTCGGCAGTTGGCTTCCTGTAAATGACTCTGACTAGACACCTGGAAGTACTAGACAATCTTACAGAGCACTATATGGATTCCTCAAGATTGTTAAACTCGAGGTTGTGAACCTGGTGCACCTCCAAGCAAGAGCTTATGTATATGGCTACTCCGCCCCCAATTCCTGTTTTTCTGTCGTTGCGGAACAAAGTCATCCCAGGCAATGCTAACTCTTGGTCCGAGAACTGAGAAGATATCCAGGTTTCAGATATTCCTATCAGATGGGCCTTATTAGCGTTGCTAAATTCACGTAGTTCATCCAGTTTGTTTGGTAGACTCGCGGCGTTCATATATAAACAGTTTATGCTTTCAATTTGGAACGCGTGATCTTCGTCCTGTTTTTCTGTATGAACCTTATGTGAATGGACAGGTAGCCCACCTATATGAGGTTTGCCGAGGTGGTAGGCCCTGTCCTTTACACGTTTTTTTATCGTTTAGACAGTCCACAAGTGGAATGGTCAGCTCCAACTTGCCTTTGTTCTTGGTTCTAACTTCGTATGGCCTATCCGGGTGCATGTGGATTCCAGGTGGCAACCGACGTCTATTAGCACGAAATGCTTCCAGAACTGCAGCCGCCATGTGGGAAGATGGGAAGGTTATCTTCATTAGACGGGGTTTAAGATCACCGTCCTTCTTGGCTAGTCTCGTCACATGCTGAGTCAGTATGTGTTTGAGCCTCAAGGACTGTTTGATGAATTTCCATTCCCTGATGTCAGAATTTGATTGAGTAGGGTCTGCATTTTCCGGTATACCTTGGACAATTATGTTTCTTCCGCGGAAAAACTTCTCGCGAGATTCTTTAGGGACGTTTCGTATGATACTGCGCTCAGAGTACGGTATGTCGGGCAGTATTTGTACGTTGCCATCTGATTTCAGCAAGTGGCTTGCTAGCAAGACGTCCTCTACGTCGGTAGCATTCTTAAGTGTTACTCGGAGAAGCCTCGGGTGATTTAGATGCTTAGAATCCTTTCCTCGAGTGAGCCGGGTGACCGTCAAAGGCTCTATTCTAGGAAGTTCGAGCTTCTTGTTCAATTCACCCCAGAGCATCCTGTCGTTTTTGTCCTGCAGACTGAGAGGAAGATCAGGATTGTCAACGAGGTTCATGATAATGAGACAATCGTCACGAACTGTTGTTAATTTACCACGTTTCACGATGGGTTCAGGATTAATAACTTGTTGTTTGGAGGTCAGTGTGCGTTTATGAATCATGGACTCTTTAATGACCGAACGAACAATCTTGGGAGTAGACTGTGCGACCAAATCACCAGTTATTTTCCGTGCAGCAACACTTGGGTTGCTCGGCTTAGGCGGTGATGCCTGGTTCTTTTGGGCTCTCTTAACGTGGGTCGAATCACCTGCAGAGTTTTTGGCAACCACTGTTGTGTTCGGGGACCCTGAGCTGGGAGACCCGAGTTTGCCTAGGGAGTTCAGTACCGTCGACGTAATGATGGTACTGAGCCTTGACACGTCGTCGTTAGTGTTGATGGATGCTCCATCGATGGAATACCTATCGACATCCCTGTTTTTGAGTCCGTTGCACGCTCTTGTTTGTATATCAGTTTTTTTACTATCGTTTTCCAAGTTAACTGACAACTTGTTCCGAAGACCTGTCAGTAGGACAATGATGTTACTCAGCAAGACTACGGAGTCTGTGTTGCACGTGACACACACCCACTTTTGCTCTGACTTGCTGAGTCTGTTGTAAGCAGTTGCTGTCAGATCTGTGCATGCTTCGTGGAACCAACCTTTGCAGTTGTCGCACTGCATGCCAGTTGTGACAGCAAAACGGCATCCCGGACGTTTGCATGAGTTTTTCATGACGGTGTTGAAGCAAATTATGTTATAGATGCTTGCAAGAGCCTAAGACCTTTTAAAAAAACACTAAAAAGCACACTGAAAACGGACAAAAATGGACAAAACGAGTGATATAAACTGAAACTAGTCTATACGTGAAAAACAAAAAAACCGAATAGTAAGCTGAGGCAAAACCACAGGTAACTATTAAATATAGTGAAACTCAAAAAAAAGTTATCTACCGAACGTATAGCTCAGGATAGATTCTTTAGAACTGAAATGGTACTTTTGTTGCGTAAGAACACAGCAAAAGTTTGATAAATGCAAATCACGTTAGGACTAAACTTCCCGTTCGAAAAGCGCGGTCAATTATACGACAACCAAGAACACTAAACTAAGCAAGTGTCATAGTTATTGTTTCACTTGCAAAGACATGTTGCTCAAAGTAGTTAAATGGACATAATTAAGCCGATAAAACCAAAACACGAAATATAGGCCAGTTGAAATTACCTAAGACAAAAAGAAGGATACATATATACTGCTTTCATACTGAAGACAACAGGCAGTTGCTCATAGAAACATAGTTTACAGTACAACAAACCTTTCTTCAGTAAAATCATACACTGACAGTCTATCTGGAAACAATCAACTATGTGAATAAACTCACTATGTCTTGAGATATCATCCCAGCGTGCAACGGACGTACAGTGTAACGCAGCCGGACGTGGCGAATAAAAATTAAAAACAGAGCAAAATTAACTACATATTCTAGTTGTTTAATTGAAAATACATTATGAAATGACAAAATCTGTGGTTACTTGAACGCACAAATGACAGTGTGCGATACATTAAGTTTACATGGTTGCGTTGCGGATAAGATCACCCTGTTTTTGCTTGTAACATTTGGGTTATGCTCTAGTCTATTATTGTGCTTCCAAATAGTAATAGGACTAATTGAGGTGTGCAATCTAGTGATTTCCGTAGGTAACTTGTGTAAACTAATAGTCATGACTAGATCAGAACTGAATACTTTGTTGAACTGAAAGCTCAGAGTTATAGCTTTCACTTCTATATATAGTCTTTTCAGAATCTGAAAAATATTATTATAATGTTCGCTGAAGAAAAGCAGATTTCCATTATGCAGAGCCTATGAGAACGATCTGAAAACTTCCAAGCCAGCTGTTGGTATTGAGGACTAGTACGGAGGGCGTAATATGGTTACTCCTCAAATCACACTAACAATTTTTGCCAGTATGAAACATTCTGAGTGAAGATTTCTGCAGACAGCCCTAAATATCGTGCATTTGTCTGCGCGCAGAGACTAGCGTAAGTTGCGAATATGTTAACATCCAAGTGCACAAGAATCAAGGTTTACTCTCTGCACCCGAAAATTACAAAGAGAGGATCAGCTTGAATTATGATTCTTATCCAGTTAAGCACAGTAGTACTCATATTAGGAGAACATCGGTTTGACGAATAAATAAATACAGGGCAAATTTCTAGGGTTCTTATGAGTATCGAATTCCGTTATTTCAAAATGTTATTACAGCCATACCCATAATGACTGGAAACACAGTGGCAACACAAACAGATTATTCAATGTTAGACATGTGAGGTCGTGGTTGGAATATCAACATCTTTATAAAGAATGAAATACACTGTTTTTGCCTATCACTAACCGCCAAACTAGAATTAATGAACGGACTATGGCACAGTAATCCGTTTACCTAACAATTGCATTAAGTCCATTCACTGATACAAAGATGCTGGAAAGATATCAGTAACAACTATTTAACAAAAATAACGTTATTAGGTGTCTTTATTCTTCTGTTGGTTATTGTCGCCGACTCTTGATTTCCATTGCGCACTGCGGAACGCACACAATACAACCACAAAGGGGGTCACACAATGATGATACAAGTGACACCAATCAAGATAAACTGTTTAACACATTATCTTCTTCAAAGTAAGACAAGAGAATGATTCGAAGCACTTTTATAGTGATCACTTCTTTCACACAGAGAAACTCATAGTCCAAGAGAATCTTACGATAGATCTTTAGACAAAATATATTTGGGCGTCCCAAAATCAATAAGAAACTGAGTAAGAAGATTGAACATATAGAAAATAATCATGTATGTCATATGAGTTCATAACATGTGAAAGTGATTTTTATCCTAAGAGGACTACCTGAATACATAGACAAATAAAGATAAACTGATAATTGTATGAAGTGAAAATATAAACACGAATTACTAGGCACATATGCCATCTTTAGAGTGGAGAAACACTGGTGCATTTCTGGGTATCACGAACCATGGGAAACATGTACAAAACATTCCTCATCAGTACACTAATACCACCTCACACAAAATGTTTAAAATAAAATCACACATAACAAAACACAAGTAGCTGTTTCAAAGATTCAGGAGAAAAACCTGAGTTTTGAGAGGAAGTGAGATATTTAGTCTTAAAAATTAGTCATTCGTTAAGGGGTGAGATAACCCATCTCGATGTCACTAAATGTTCACACATCAATCTATATATATATTTCAATGTCCTGCTGTATAAAGTACTTCCCTCATCTATAATGCGACATAATCTTCTGTGCGCAATCACACTTATGTCCGGCATCTTGTTTTTGAATGTATCGGTTTCAAATAAACTTTACTATTAATTGATTGATACTCACATTACATTTGATGCTGAAATAAATGTTACTAACGTCGTTCGTTTCTTTGCCTTATGAATAATGGCCTGCGACTAGAGATCACAGTAGTTTAGTAATGCCCTTTCTGGGACTCCAACACTACACTAAATAACTGATCGAGGTTACGCGAAAGGATATTGCTATATTAATACCATTCTCAATGCCATCGATTCTAAACGCTCCAGTGGACATATAGTAACCGAGTGATATATATCTGTGGTGGTTGCTCAAGAGGAACTCTAAATATCAATCATCACATGACTGCTGTTAACTTCATTCTGAATGTAATTTTACCTTCTCCTCAACTTGCATACTTCATTACAGCCTTGCTTATTAATACATGACTTTGGATGGTATCCTTTACTTCTCAAGTCTTGATTAGGTTCTCGTACGAATCAATAACAAATCTTGTGAGCCCGGTCCTTACACTAAATATTATAATTTTAAGTTCATTCCACGGTATTTTGAAGCCTGCTACCGTAAGTGATTCCTTTATTGGAATCTCGATTAAATGCCTGAAACTCGATGGATGTAACACAATTTAGTAAACTTAACCCGCGTGTTCGATTAATACAAACTGAGGGCCAACGTCATTTTGAAAGGCTTCGAAAAATTCTTTTATGCCGAGAATCTTCATAACAGAAGTCTTATCAGAGATACCTGATGTTATAGACAATTTTCAAAAACCTGAAGTAGTTTGTCAAACCTACCTCAGCATGAATGAACGTGAGTTAGGGGACAGTCTCTGCTTCAATCGATATGGCAGATGAAACAATTATTTGAACCTTATAACGTCGACAATGCTTTCCTAGAAATTTTGATGTGACACCTGCAAATATCAGCAAGGTGAATTCCCTGCACATTTATTCAGCCACTAGGCTCGGAGAACTTGACTAATATTGAAAGTAAAATTTAGGGTTACACCCAGTCTTACGCCGTAAGTGCAAGCACTACTCGACACGAAGAATCATCCAATGAATTCTGGCGGTTCCACCCTCGCTGCTGAAGTACCAGAGTCATGTTATTATTACACTGATAACACAGCAAAGATCACGAAAAAATTAGATTTACAGACAACTATTTCTCAACGAGCTATACAACGTCCGGCAAACAGTTTGGAAGAAAAATCCATCTTAAATCACCATGAGAGGCGTGAGTATACGATGTGACCTATGGTGCTTTTGCAAAATAACAACACTTTGTTTGAAATAACAGCAATAAACGTCTAAATTCTAAAATTTTTCCTCCCTGTAGTGTTTGAATGAACTTCATTTAGCACGGATAGAACCCACAATCCATTTTTCTGGCGACAAAAACCGAAATGTTAGACCAAGGTGATTTATAATTTGTCAAGAAATAAAAAAACACCAATTCACACTACATATCAAATGGTAACCTGAATTGTCGATTCGCTTCACTTATGAACCACTAAGTACTGGTTCACTCTGGTTGTTGACCGAACAGTTACATCAGTTGATTGTATTATGTAGTCGATACACTGTCATGTCCTTGTAGCCTGAACGATTAGATTCACATTCTCTACCATAACATAGGGAGATAATATTTAAAGAGAAATTGTCTGTCTGGTGTAGCAATATAGCAGAACCGACTTTGAGGTTCAAAAGCTGCTAGTTAGCCAACTACAAAACGGTCTATGTAGACCAAGTGTTTTTGACATGCTCCTGAATAGTTCAACCTTGTAAGGTAGTTACGACTTACCTACGGTATCACCTCCGATTTCCAACTCGCCAGAATAGGTTTTCAAGGTCATTACGATAAGTCTTAGCTCTTAAGTTTAGAACGTGACCAGTTGTCATTTAAAGTGAGAGCAATGAACTTATTCCAAGTCGTCAAAGGTATGTCCGACTACTTGTTTAATGTCGATAGAGTGTAGATCTCTCGGCTGCTTCATTTCCTTGTAAACATGCAGTTCGATTTCATCCTCAATGTGCACTGCTTATAGTAAGGATTATGATACGAGTAAGTTATTCGTAGTGTCTGATTACCAACGCTTGGCAACGAATCATGGCTCAGGCACTGATACCAAATGATGTGAGGCATGTATTCCGTAATCTCCTTCAGTTGGATCTCCTTAGGTAACATAAAATTAACGATCAATACATTTAGCAGAAAAGGTTGCCTCATCGGAGAAGCATTAACAAGCGATATTTAGCAAACATGATCCCCTACCAGTTTGTAAGCAGATACGGAATCCATGTGCTTCGAACTTTGGATCTAACTCGTCCTATTTTCAAGTTGGACACTTAAAACCGAAATAGTCGACTAATATACGTTGCGAAAATAACCCTTAGACTTTTTGTTTGTATCCGATAGTACGAACACTTCAAAAAACCCCGAATTACGACCTTTTTTATTTTCTAGCTGTTATATGTATGACCGTTCATTGGATAGCAGTAAAGTCCACAATTTAGGTGTGAAGTACTCGTTTACTCATTGAGAGGATATTAACACATAAGTCAATTATCTCAACCAAAATAGAATAAAGCATAGGTAATCTGTACAAAAAAATCATTTGAAGGAAAATATGGAATCTCTTACTCCAGATATATATTACAAAGAAATTCATTCATCAATTGCAAATTGTTTGTATATGGATGACCAAATATGTTGTTTTACAAAGTCCTCCAATGATGCCAATTCAGTGATACCAAAACGATACGGTAAATTCAAGTACGGATCACAACAACACATAAACTCGCCATTTCTAATAATAACAACAACAATAATAATAAGAGTAGAAGAAATCCCTTGGATTAATAACTTATAATATATCTAAATTTAATTTTTGGATAAATTGACCAGTACACATTTAAAGGTTGTATTAACGTAACATACCGCTTCATAGTTATTTTTAATCAGAAATATCAAATCTTCTCCACCATCTCAAAATCAGAAATATGTAAGCCATTTTAACAATTTTATCGCATACTGAATTGTTGATGAGTTAAAAATGGCTGAAAAACGGTACGCCCTCAATCTGGTCGATATACATATACCTCTAAACACTAAATAATAAGTTACCTGAATAAACTTTCCTAAAGTAAGAAATAAAGACATGGAGGGCAGGAGTCTTTCATTTCGAATGACCTTAGAAATAAAGAGGTGGTTAATATTGACATGAAATCAGAAGCATACTCCCAGGTTATCAATTGTGGTCTAACATTGATCGGTTCATGATTTCAATGAAAATCAACAATTTCCATAACCATATGCTGATAACGGTTATAACTGAACTAACAAAAATGCAAACATATACATAGATACAGATTGATAACTTTTACTGGTAAAACCAAATCTATAGTGATTGGTTCTGTTCAAAAAATATTTATATAAATTCATGTCCTGTACTGATTGTTATTGTAAGTACTGTGTTTCCAAGTTTTTTCTGCAGTTTAAAGAACACAGTTCACTGAAAAAACTAATCTCTTGTTTTTGTGAATATACCAAACAATAAATCTCTTAAAAAACTATCGACTATCTAAAACAAAAGTCAGAGGGAAAAACAAAAACAAGAATTGCAATAAATTGGTCAAAGTAATTTCTTCCTTTTAAACATTTTTGGTATCCACCTTAAACAACTCTACGTATTCATAAACATTGTTAGTGATCATATGATATTTTATTTTGAACAAAATGAGTGAAAATTATTTCTGAGTGTATCAAAGTGGTTATGAGACTTGAAAGTCCATTGTTTGATTCCACGTATGGGATCTGGTATATCTTAGCGAAAACTAAATAACGAGTAACTTCTGAGACTTATTAATGGCTTAATATTATCTACATATTCTTATGGTATAACTATTTAGTAATTGGATTATGTATATCTATATTCCTCTTATTATAAGCTTCATTTTGACCTTTAGATTTTTATTGTACGATTTACTGTTCTTAAGTTATGTTCAGTTTATTGATTACAGTCTCTCATGTTCACAGCCACTTTGGGCTTTATTTTGCATAAATGTTATTTCCTATTTTATATTACGATGAAGTCTGTTTTGCTGGCATATAAACTAAGTGTGTCTGAAATAAATGATTCGCACAACAGAAGCTGTTTTTGGTGTTCCGGACTCAACTGGACGGACTAGGCGAGCAAAGAACCAATAAAGACTCTAGGATGATCAGACCGGTTGAACGTCATTGGTTTAGTACAATACAAGAGTGAATAAGTCGTATTTCGACTGGTGGATAAATTACGTGATAACTAGCTGAACTTATAGTCACAATAGGGTCTTAAGTACTCACGGAACTGTGACACTGGGATTAGGCAAAATATGTTCATACCATAGTTTCCAATGTTAATCATCTAATGAAAGTCTTTAAGTAAACCGGTCTTCTTACAGATCATTAAAATAAATCACAGTTGCGTGTTTGCTAGTGGATGAATATGAGAAGAAAAGTTGTGACTACTAATTTATATGTGGTGGTGAAATTAAAATATGATTGTTCGTTGAGCATGAACAAACAAGCAACTAGGCAATTGACTACTGAATATCTGGTTTACTTTCCTGTTATTGATATCTACTCCGGACTCACTATGTGACTGTTTTTATAATTGTGTTGGATTAATTACTATCTAGTGTTAATATGGTCAACTAATCTAGGTCGTGAATCCTGGATCTGATATAACGTGAGTTGTATTATTACCATAATGTACCTGAGAGTGAGAAGAATATTTTAAACCATCCGTCATACCATAAACGGAGACTAACCATATAAGGAGTGGATAAATTATCAACAGTAGCAATTGCACTTTGTTCTATGGTGGATACCTAGAACTATGTTCAAACTATATAATTATCTTAAAGCAACACCTAGATAAAAACCATTCATCTATTTTTTGCTGGATTACAAAATTTGATCGGAAGAATGCTACATTCAAATTTTGATTAGAATGATAATCTACGGACTTATCCAAAGAGATAGAAAAAATATTCGTACATGCTTTGCAAATAGTGGAAAGAAATTTATTGACTAGCTAGGATACGAAGCTTAAAACACATTGTTGACATTATATTCAATTTACTTGGAGCAGTTAACCCTTGTGGAGTATAGGCAACCCGCCCGGAATCACTGGTTAACTATGTCTTTGCAATCCTTTCCTGGTACTCCCACTTGCTATTCATTCGATTGCCGATGCAATATGTTCTTTGTTCTACCTCCTTTGCTTTCGCCTTCAGGATTACAAGTTATGATTTGCCTAGAGATGCAGTCTGACGATTTCCAAAGGATATATCCTATCTACCTTCAGTGTACTTACCTAAACTCCTCTGCAATTTACAGCTGGTTTGTTGGCTGCAGCAGTAGGATCCATCCAACGGATCTGGTGTATTTTGCATAAACAACTGTTTAAAATACCTTTAACTTTATGATGATGGTTGTAGTAATTCACCACATCCCATCTACTTACGACAGAATTGTCTCGATGTTTGTATTAGAGATCCTGCCTTTGATGTTGGCTGGCAGTTGTTTTGAGAACCGTATGTTATTCAACCATGAAAATGCAGTCCTTGGTTTGGCAATCCGTGTTCCAACTTCTGCATCAAAGCCTCCTTATTTATCGATGATACTGCCCAAGTACGTAGAACTTTACACACCTTCCAGAGCTGCTCCAGCAAGTCAGATTGCGTTGGTGTTCTCTGTGTTGTACTTTAATATCTTGCTTTTCAACTTGAGCATAATGAGACTAGTGCTACAGTGGTTGTCTTCACTTGCATTTTTTGATGTGTATGGGATAGAAGAGCTAGGTCATCTGCAAAGCACAAATCGTCTAGCTGCATCCGAGTTCTCAATTGTATTCAGTGCTTCTCCTCAAATGTGGACGCCAACCACCGGAATGAGGAGAAAGGAGGAGAGTGAGCAGCCTCGTCTGACGCCAGGCCTCACTTGGAATGCAACTGTCAGCTGCCCTACATGCACCACTTCGCAGTGTGTTCCGTCGTACGAATTCCGTATGATCATGCCAATCATCTCGGATACTCCATAGTGTAGAAGAATGCTCTATAAGCTTCTCTCATCCACACAACCAAATGTCATCTCATGTACAGTGATGAGTTCCATTCAACTGACCACTCAACAATGATCCGGACTGTCGCAATTTTATCGACGCACGGATAGACCACGTACGAAAGCCAGTTTGTTGGTCTCGAAGTTGGGCGTCTGCCAAATCTTTCATTTGGATCAGCAACACTGTCAAAAAATCTACCTGATATTGATAGTAATGTAATGTCTCTGCAGTCCTCATACTTACTGAGATCTCCTTTCTTTGGTATCTTGACGAGATATCCCTCTTTACAGTCTGTTGATACTTGTTCTTACTCCCAAATCCTCCTGAGTAGAACGTGGAGTATCTTTACAGTCACCTCTATGTCTGACTTCAGCTGGTATTTTGTCTGGTTCTGCTGTTTTCCCACTCTTGGTTTTTCTGATGGCCATGCTGATTTCTTGGATCGTTGGTGGGGTAACACTTAAGGAGAGGTTTCATATTTTCTTCTCTTACAGCTATTTCCGCTGTCAATGCTAGGTCTCCCACGTATTTCTGCTTATCAGGTTCAATGCTGCTCTTCACTCTCTTGCATGCTTCTGCGCATCTATTTTGTGCTCAAGTCCTCCATCACAATGGTCAGATCCTCCTCTGGACACTCCTCTACGATCGATTGTTGCCTCTCATAAACTGGTTTTTTATCATATTTGTTGCTATCAATAATAGACGTATAAAATTTCTTGTAATCACCACCTTCTTTGTTTTGAAGAATGCTGTGATGATTCTGGATCCATGAGATGATCATCCTATAAGTGCTCTTCTGAACAGCATAATTTCAGCTCTACGTATGTGAGGCACTTTCTTCTTCATAACCATATTAAAATGGCATCTCTCCCGAAGCTAATCTTTTATGTACAGCTTGGGTCCGATGGATCTCACTTATTTCAAGCACCACCAAGTTATATATCCTCATTTCCGCAGCCATTTGATTGGTCCTCCCTGTCTCCCACATTTTCCGAACATTCCACGTATGCATATTAATTGTTGCTGTGGTTGTTAGAAGAGACGTCAGCCTCGTGACTTCCGAAGATTCTCGGCTTTCACCATGAGGCGTCATAATTCTTCCGAATGAAGATTCTTCAGCTCGGAGGGTAGAGTCTAAGTGGTTTAATTTGTTTATTCGGGTTAGCGTTTTTTACGAAGTTTGTTTTCTACGGGATGGGGTTTCTGACCCCATGCCCAACCCTCTTTCTTCTTCCCGGGCTTGGGACCGGCAGTAACTCCAGAAGGGCTACAGGAGGCGTTAGTATTGTATGGTACATATGATCATCACAAGGGTTGTGTGCTTGAATGTGTTTAAATACTTCGATTCACTTAGCTGATTTTGTGGCGTTTTGTTTGAGACTTCGGGACGCGAGGGCTTATGTAGGCTTTAATTAGAGTGATAAGCGGTGATACAATTAGTGGCTTATCATTAGCGGTGTAGACATAAAAGTGCAAGGACTAAAATGCTTAACTTGATAGCTATATGCCTCTCAATGGCATGATATAATCATACAAATAAACAATAACAAATATACGAACACTAAAGAGTTTGATTTATTTTGGTCTTTAACATAAACGGAAAGATCTGAACAACCAATAAAAACGAGTTAAACTTCGCCTTATTGGACAAGCAAGCGACTCAGTAGCTGGGTGGACAACGAGTTGGCGTTTGAAGCGAAAGCTACTGGGTTTGAGTCCCTGAATGAATAATAACTATAGGATTCAGGTATATCCAACTGAGTCGCAAAATGGAACATGCATCCTAGCCCCCACTGCTAGTAACCATCGATCTCTGTTTAAAATGGTTATGGCTTAATGGAAACATCGAGGCAATCCACACAGGATGTACATAACCCAAAAGAGACTGATCAACGGCAGTCTCAAACATCAATAGGAAGATCCAAGCAAACAATACAAATAAATTACACACGTCTAAATATTGACGAGAGAAAAACTAAATATATTACCAATCGATTTGGTGTTATTTCTAAAGAGTAACAAAACAAATATTAAAGATTCCCATTCTGAAGATTATAACAACACATATAAATACTTCAACTTTGTATGGTTCTTAGAAAATATATCACTTAGAACTGTTCAAGATAATAAAAAGCATAAAAGTATCAACTTACTCCGTTTTTGAGTCTTTAAATAAAGTTACTCGTACAACTGTCTCATAAGCCTGTGTCATAAACAATAGAGCTTCGTAGCAGAAATCCAAATCAGTAGAAGAGAGCAGATTTGTATTATCAATCTTTGACATTGAATGAATAGGTGGAATATACTTAGGATCCATAAATAATATAGATTCCAGTGGTAAAGTTTTGCCGCCTATTCCATAGACTAAAATACAATAATAAAAAAAAGGTGTAATATAAAAAGCAAGTAATTGAAATCTACATCAGCATAAAAGTGCCACTTTTTTATGAGAAAAGGTTTGTTCGTTTAAATGTTGTACATATCTTTCTCTGAAATTGGTGCCTGATTTCTTTTTATAAAACGATATCCGGCTGTAATTTCATAACTTAAAAGATGTTTATCTATCAAGTTGGAATATACTAGTTACGCCATGATTCTTATGTAAACTAAAGTAGTTAGTCAACATACACACGTACATAGCAGACGATTCTAGATAACCCATACACTTAAAATGACAACTTTAGCGAAATATACACTATCATTTATTAAATAAACGGAAAAATGACTAAAAGTGATATGTATGGGAAAAGTAGCGAACATTGAAAACGTAGCGAATACCACCCGCCACATTAGTTTCGTGGCTTACACATCATGGGGTAATTCCAGTAAAAGGATGTTAGTATATTTATAATTTGCAGACAAGATCCTGGAGTCTTCATCACTTAATCCGCTAGCACTGATTCACTAAAAACAGGCCAATCATCGTGTTCCAACATAATCCTAGATGGAATATGCTCTAATTCAATCTATATTTTGCTAACAAATACAATTAGAAAAATAAACTTATGGAAATATATCACTGCTTTTGATTGCGCATTATTTCAACTTGGTACGCGTCCTGCAATTTTGAGTGCAGAATTTACATAAATAAACTTGGAATTGACTTGCCTGTCTGTTTGTGTTACAGAATAATCCCATAGACTATTTGGTTTTTGAATCTAAGACAAACATAAAAATGTTAATATTACATTGAAACAATGTTGGCAGTGGTTTATTGTTCAATTACTTTTCTTATGTTGCCCAGTCATCAAGTAAAAGTTTCTAACTACTTAGCTTGTAAGCACACATTTGTATATTTGGTAAAACTAGAGATATTAACAAGTTGGTCAAATTGAAATACATGAAGCAATGTTCAAAACTACAACCTATTTGGTTGAAATTCAAATACTTTAACAATTGAGATCACTTCGTTTTGTGTCAGATGATAAAATATCATAGTTATATCGACTAAATATGTAAGATAATGGAGAAGATTTGTAGCTCAGGTGGATGATTTTGGTGGTGTTTTGTTCTCTGATAATCTTAATCAACCAGATAAATTCTGTAAACTAGTGTGAATTTAGTAATTTTTCTTTTTAAAAATTCACTTAATCAACAATTCACTCACTTGGATTCATTCTAATAAATTTCCACATAGAATGCCAAGGTTCATAGAAAATTGAAGAAGGTAAAGGTGTGGAAACAACATTTGATTTAGATATATTATTGGCTAGAAGAAATTCACAATAATAAGTAAATTAGTTGTGATATTTAATTAAAATACAACAGTCAGTATTACACTTGTAGATAACATGGGTACAGCTAATAATAGCAAAAAAAGTCAACTAATGATAAGCTAACAATTGAAAAGATTGCATTGAACGGTAATGTTGAATAATATGGAACGTTGAAGTACAATCAAGTTACTTTTCACTACGGTAAGTGAAGTCAATTTCAAAATCACGAAAAAACAAAAGAACACTAATTAGCTAATTCAATCTAAATTGGGATTTCCTGGAATTTTCTAACATGAACTGAAAAAAGAATAAATTATTCCAATTTTCACTGGATACATAATTGTGAATCACAAACTGAGACGAAACATCTACATAACGATTCATCAACTAGCTGATGTGAATCAACGTGTGAAGTCAACTAATTGTTTCGTTCATTTCACTGTTATCAATTATTCATTAATTGCCTTGATTAGTTTATATTTTTCATACACGACCTAAATATGGTCATTCGCTTAACCTCACCTAGTTAATGTGCGGAACCGGTGTATCTGGATATTTGACCGCTAATTCTCGTGACCTCATAGGAATAGGTACTGAATTAAGTTCAAAAGAACAGAATCTCCTAGGTTGAACTCTAACAGACAGTTGCTTGTGCGTTCTTCTGTATACAGGTTAATGAGACACAAAATATGTCAATGGCATGCGACTCTAAAATTCTAATTAAGACTTATCTATCGTGATGACCTAGTAGAACTATACTGGCTATAACAAGTTCCGGCCTCAATTTACGGTAGGGTCGTGGATAAGCACTGAAGACTAGTTCCATAGACAGAACGAAACATCTGTTCTATCGTTCCTGATTTCCAACGGTTGCACGACTTGGGTCGACTGGTGATTTCAATTCTATTCCGAGTTCCTAAACTGAAACAAAGCTGTCTAACCAGTTCCCCTCAATGTCCAATGGTTCTTCGGTTGATGTCAGTCTTCAACTTTAATTTTATTGAGATGGTTTAGTCAATATTGATTTATAATAAACCGAGGAATATTTTTCTACATCATCTCATTAAAATTATTCCCAGGAAAAATTTAACCGAAAAAAAGATTAATAAACCTACATAAATTCACATGATCATGAAGTGGTTGCACTTTTGTTACAGTATGGGGATTTATTGGCTTCGAATCGGATGAACGAAGTGAGTGTAATTTCAACTCTAAATAGGACTCTATAAGATCCTAAAACAAGCATTAAACAATATTTAGTAGAAAACTTCGTTAATCTATGAAACAGAAAGCTATGTGAAAATACAAGTAAACATCATTACCAATTTAATATCTGATTTTGTATTGTATAATGATAATCATATTTCAATAAACATAAAAAGCAGCCATATAGTTTTCTTCTTTTAACCAAAAACGTTATAAGAATCTTTTTCAGATTGTGGTGCGTGCAGAAGATGGAGAAGATCAAGAAAAGAAGAGCGAGAAAACAATGGAATTTGTAAGAAATCGCATGAGCAATGAAATGTGAGACAATGGATTGATGTTTGCAACAGCAACAGCCCGGTTTGATATGATAGAATGATATTTTGCAAATTAACGATTTACTATATGGTTTTTCTAATTTACCAAGTAATTCTGTAATTTGTCCTAAATACAATTTGGCTGTCCTCACCCGTGTTCTTCTTCACTACAAGATGAAATATTTATTTTATATTATTAACGGGAAAAATAAATTTAGGCAATGTAATCAGATATTTTGTTCACCACCACTATATTTAGACATAAATGTAACATTTTTTCAGGTATTTTGCTATCTTTGGTGCTGAATAAGAGAATACTCAGTGTCAGTTTGTAGGGGTGAACTTTATTAAACCACTTTGTTATATATAATGACTGCAGACACAACTGGTTACTTACCGTGGCGCAGGTGCATTTATTCTTTGTCTTCTCCTAGATTGCAAGCTTCTGAATTCTTCATAATTTGTTATTTCACTAATTTTCTCAAGTTATATCTTCGAACCCTAACCTTTTCTACTAACACTGATACTGTTGCTGTCTCTACTACTCTGGGATTTCCCCTAACAATTTCATCTCGTTGTGCTAATGTGGTATGACAACTTGGTTCTACGATGGGACTGACTGACTTTTGTATAACTGAACAAGGACTGATTTGGCTCGATGCAAGAAATAAACTTAAGATAATAGATAAGAATTGGTTTAAGCACTAACAATAGATCCACTACAGCTCCGACTACTGATTCAGAAATTATATTAACATTACAATATTATTTAAGATTTACTTAACTGGTCAACAAGCCAAATTTGAATAGACCGAACTAGAAGTAGTGGGCACTAATTAATCAATAATTTAGTGAGTGTACATAATTTATGTTAATAGATTAATTTCTTTAACCAATAAATTTAACTAAATTACTGAGTTACATTTCTGGTTCTTTCTAACCAAAACCAGAGTCAGCAAGAAGATATCAGAGGACAAGGATAAACATGTTCAGAACTGAAAAAGAGTGAAAATTAATTCCACTCGCCTTTGAGCTGCCAACTTTTTCAGAAGCGACCAAAGGTAGTTAACAAAACAAGTGATATATTCCTGAGACTTTATTTTATAAAACTAAGTGAATATGACATCTAGCATGAGACATAACGCCATACTGAGTTGATGGAATGCCTCGTAACTACAGAGAAGAAATAGATAAGATGGGACTTTAGACGATAACATTCACATAAAAATCCACGGAACTGAACCAGATTACTTCATATTACTTGGTTTGTACGATCAAATTGTTTGTTTAGTGCATAATCTATAAGTATCAAGTTAACAGTTCGCTTACTTGCTATCTATTTTGTAGCAAATGTTAGACCAGTTACATCAGATTGCAAGTTTATATGGAGAATTGTTCAATTCTGTGGTTTGTGAGGATTAGGTCAATTCGAAAGGAGCTATCGTATCCCAGTAATTTTTGAACTAAGAACTCACGTACATTACCCCACACAAAACTGAAGTCGAAACCCTGTATGTATCGAGGTGAGGATGATACTATTAGATCACGGAGCAACGACCTAATGGTTTACATTCTCGAATCCAGTTAACTTTTGACAAAGCGCAACGACTGCCTTACTCGATCGATGATGATTGTGCCTCATTATAGATATGATTAAACTCCACTGGTTGTGACTTCCTACTAGATCATAGGGACTCTATTTCTAGAGTAGTCGGTAGTAAGGATATGATTATGGGAAAGTTATATGCTTATCGTCTAATCCACTTGAGCTTTTAGGGTTTGTCGAAATGTTGCTCATTTTAATAAAATTTATGGCCAATTACGTGGTAGGAAGTGAGGAAATCTAGTTTTTGCACAAGAATAAATGATCTGACAGTTATGATCGACTCTGAGCCATGTTATGCAAGTATTTAACCAGAGGTTACAGAAATCGCAGACCCCAACCAGGTAGTCTGCATCTACCGATACGTCTCACGCCATGAACTTTGTGTCACTTTTTGGTCTGGAGCCCCTACCCTAACTTCAACTTACAACCACAATAAACAAAGTTGTCCGTCGAGGTACATGGTGTTTTTCCATACATAATACACGCCACATAAATCGATAAACATTCAGTCTTATCAACCTTACCTGGTGCCCTACATCTAAACTCAGCGTTATTCACTCAGTGATCCCAAAATACGTAATACTTTGAACACATGATGAGATACCGGTAACCTATGAATGTTCTTTAGTTTTTTAGTGTTTAACAGCAATAAAGCGAACTAATTAGCGGTGTAGTCATTCTTTGGTTGGCAGACGGATATCTCGACCACGCTACAGGTGGCTCAGACTTGCAAAAGTCAAGCAAACTTTCTGAACCAAATACACTTAGCAAAATAATGTAGAATTATCACTATCTTATTTCCCAAAATCCATGCAGTAACCTACGTAGTTCAAAATGTTACTCAGTGACTTCATAGACTGCTATCAGGTCACTTATTTAATAACGTGCCACTACAACACCTAAAAATATGACTTCTAGTTATGTATACCTAAAATGACTCATTATCCTTAGTTGGGATGCTCAAATTTGCTACCGAAGTCACGACGCCTTAGATTAGAACAAGAAATAACCGTTGTGCTAATTTTCACAATGAATAGACGAATCCTCTGATACTTCATCCTTCAGTAGAACACTAGACCCTAGATACGACCACAGTTCGCAACCAGTGATTCCTCGATTTCAAAACAGATTCGTAACGTGAATTGTAAATAAGTTATGCTAAGATCCCCACAGTGTAACTTACTACAGCTATTGTTTATCTTCAAGAATTTATTAACTAAGATGCTCAAGAACACTTCCATAACTTGTACATAGTCCCATCTCTTAGCTTGAATCAATACCGACTTCATAACTATGTAATATTCACATCGACACTAAACATTATTTCGACACAAAGATTCTCACTTTTGAATATAAATCTGCCGTCCGATTTAGAGATTTATTCGTACTGAACCAAACCATCTAAAGGAGGACAGCGGATCATGAGTAGAAAGAATAGCATATAATAAGAGGGATAGGAATGTATGTGATAAAGAGAAGAGGTGCAGTGACTATACTGGGGAAACCAAGCGGTACTGAAAATTAACACGCTGACCTGGAAATTTTATTGTTTTGCACATATAGTAGGATTCTCAGCGAGTAAATACATGCCCAACAAGCAGTATTAAGATCAAGATGAACGATCACGAATAGACAAACAAAATTTACACATATACTCAGATAAAGTGCAAAACAGACTGATGGAATACCATATTATTTATTACGAACAGTGAACAGGCAGTGTAAAAGTATGAAAGTCAATAAACTTAACTATAAAAGACTGAAGATGAGGAAAACAATTGTTGGTAACGTTGATATCCTAACGTAAGAAATGTTTTATGTTCAACAGCAGTGATGCAACTACTCAGATAAAGATGACAAAATAATAAACCTGTGTCGAATAAAAATTAGAATATAAAAGACTAGAGACAATGTTTTTTAGTTAATGTATGTACATATATCTTTATGTCAGTATACAAAAGAGTAACAGACAAACAGATGCTCAAGTAATTTTATTCACATAAATCACGAATTAGAATAGCTGTTTGAAAAGTTACATTAGGGCTAAACCACAAGAAAGAAATAACGAGTCAAAAGAATGTCACAATATCTGATGGAAAGATAAATGAATGAGATCGATCCAAATGCGAACATGAAAATATCAACAAACTGGTTAAATTGCCAGGATCGTTCTCAGTCTTGACATCTGGGAGTAAAATTCATTTTATTTACTATGTACACGGACAAAGGTGATCAGAAGTAGGTAACCTATCCGACCCCGATTAGGATAGTTATTTTTTACAATAAGGGCAATAATAAGTTTCTACATTTGCTTCACTGGGCTTTAATCCCACACACACCTGATGATACCATAGAGTACAACGATCACATTGAATCCAATCTATTGCTATATCTTGAGGCTGCTTGCATGGTCTAGCTGAACACTCTTCACTGTCATAATGAAACATATCACCCCCACCAGCATCATCTTCCGCATCGAAACCTCCAGATTTGCTGGATTTTCCAGAGCGGCGTTTTTCTTTATTATGTATATGACCGGGTTTTGTTCCACTAGATTTGCGTGAAACAGAATTAGAATGAGACTTTTTAACTCTATCCGTACCGTTTGAACGTTTTTTGATGGTTTTGGAACCTGCAGAACTTAATCGTTTGTTGCTTGAACTATCATCAGCATCATCATTGCTGTCTCCATCATCCTCTTCATCTACCTTATGACGATTTGAACTAGCAGGCTTTTTGAATTTTTGACGGTTAGCTGTGCGTTGTGCACTTGAAGTTGTATTACTTCTAGGTCGCTTGGCATCCGTGGACTCATCACTAGACCCAATAGAATCATCTTCCCCATCAGAACGTTGAGTAGAGGACACTGTTGAACCTGGCTGAGCGGGATAAGACTTGCGTTTTTTGGCTGTTCCAGTTACAACATTTTCCTTAGTTGGTGAATCACTTAGCTCCACCTAGTAAAGATAGAATACAGTTTAAAAAACTGGCATACGGGAGTACACTAGAAGAAAATAGTAACTTACGAAATGAAGAGAACTATGTATCTAGTATATGTGGCACAAAATTTTGTTATCAACTGAAAGAGTAGTCACTGATTATTAGCAACAGCACTTATAACTGTTTGTTAACGCTACTAACGACTTCAGTTTCCTAGAAAACTCAGACACAAAAGCGAGTAGTACAATTGTCCTTAAAATTGAATAAAGCAGATACCACACTATTATATCTGCGATGTACTATAATTCTCACTGTTGGTTGGCAGACAAAATACTTTAAGAAAAGGCCGATCAGTCAGAAAGTAGAACCCGGCACGTATGTATAACACTTGCCATATCCTTTTAGCAGAGATAAAATTGTCAGGTCTAATCCCAGAGTAGCATATGCAGTGATACCGAGTGGCGTTTGGAGAAATTAGACATCGAAGATACGACTCAAGAAAATATAAATTAGTGAAATAAAAGTACAAATAATTATGAAGGATTCAATAGCTAAGAGCTTGGAGGGATACAAAGAAAAGGTAGTTGAATCTTTTCGTTGATTTAGAAATAACTGTGTGAAGTAAAGAAAGTTTAATACAACACTTAACTAGTCAGAAAAAGAAAAAACCCGATAGTCCAACTTTAAATTAATTATAAAAATCGATATTTAAGACGACTTGATTACTGGGACGGGACTATGCAGTTTGTCCTCAACCATAACAAGCGGTGACATACAGAGAGAGGACCACGATTAGGATTGTAAGGCGGTAGCTTAATGATAGGTCGCAAACTCTAAACCGGCTGTTTAATCCGTCATATAGTATCATTGGCTCTCACATACTGACTTGAAAGATGAATACATGAAATCCGTACCCGTTAATTGGGCCACACTAACTATCGAGGGAAGTAATGTTGCTTACATATTACGGAATATACGAACCTAACAGAAGCAAAGTACAATAAGTCGATAAAAGGGAAAAGGGACGTTCAGCACGGAGAGCGTAATTTCAGACCTTAATCAGACAATCTAAAAACTTTCAGTGAGTCACAAAGTCCTCGTACTAAGTGGAACTTTAGATAACTGATAATGACAAGACTAAATCCTTTCTTCCAACTTTCTTAAAACACCAGTGCGTACCAGATGAAGCTACATTTGCACTAGTTCCAAGACTCTTAAGAAATATCATCAATATAGTAACCACTTACTGTTCGAACCATATGACCAGAGTGATGTGCACAAACATTAAATCCATTCCCGTTCGTATGATATGCACGTCGGTTTAAGCCTCATCCTCCAAGATAAAGCTTGAACGGTCATCTAGTACAGTGACTTGTAACAAGTGTAAGCTCAATGAACACGCACACATTAATACGGCATTTCATCGTCGCATGAAATTGAGGGTCTTTATTGAAAAATTGTCGCTAGCAGATAGGTGTTGTCCAGAAAAGTGTATTATCAACACTAGCCTACAGGAAGTCTTGAGATTCCAAAAGTAACTGCTCGAAATCACAATCACTTATTAGATCCGAAACTGGTATTTCTATCAGACATAACGTAATGCTTCGAGGCATTATGCATCATAACTACCGTCATGATGATAACCGTATAACCTAATTCCAAGTTCAATCCCTAGTAACTTAGGTCATTTACTCATGTTTTTGGACTAAGCAATCGATAAAGTGGGTCAAAATTGTCACGATCATTTAGTGAATCACTCAATTACGCCTTTATAGTTCACCTTTACCATCATAACCAATACCCACTTCAAATACTCTTCTGCAGAGCATATTCTCCACTTGTATATTTTGAGAACGCTTCTATAACCGGATGGGACCGAAACTTAACCACCACTATTCAGTTAATGAAAAACCTAGATATTGGATTTAATTTAACAAAGCGACCGCTTATTCTAAAGCAGCGAGGACAGAAAGCACTTTATGGTAGTCGTATATATTCGGATGACGTAACAAGCAGACGACTAAATTAAAAATGACAAACAAAACTGCTGCTTTCGTACGAAGAACGAATGCAATGTATTAAAGGACTTACTCGATACTTCAAGTCGGAATAAAAGAGAGCTACTGGCTCCCCAGGCTTAAGGTTCGCCCCATTTAAATGCCCAAAACACACAATATCTCCATGTTTTAGCGTTACCCCACCCATAACTCTTGTGTAGTTGACGTAGGTCCCATTCATACTATGATCATAGAGAATTGAACCTCCTTTGGCCGAGCGTTCTATAGTTGCATGATTTCGTGATATCATTCGGCTGTTAATGCAGCTTTCGATTGGATAGTCAGGGGGGATTTTCGTGTTAATACGTCCAATGCGGATTTCTTTTTGTCCAGGCTTTAGTTCTATTTTTTTTGGGCGATATTGGTCGCTTGAAGAACTGACACACCCAGCTTGTTCACGTTTGTCTTGATCTAAATCGCCTATCCATCTTAGAGTGACGGTACTCATTATGGGATGAACATGTGAAGACCAATTCGCAGACCAGGACTGTGAAACTTATTTTAAAACCATCCACTCAAAATGTCTGCGAATGGAATATCAGTAAGCTAATTCTAACAATGATCGATGTAGAATAGTTGGCGTTGCGAATTTCAGAACCGCGTCTTTGGTGTTTTTACTTCAAATAATAACCGGAATTCATTCTTGCCCAGAAAAGAATTTCAGCAAGTAATCGATAAGCTTTAACTTCTGCTTGTGTTGGCAGGAAATTTAGGACTGTTGGTTGACTTGCATCAGTCTCTTGGTTGTAAGAGAGGGAATTAAGGCATGCTGAGCCATAATTTTGGTCACGAAAGACCCTGAAAGTCTGATTTATTTGTCACTAATCGAAAGAGCAATCAACAATTAATAACTAGAACAGTGTCCTTCAATGCTGTAAGAACTAGAACAAGTAAGAGAAATTTCTGTAAAAGATTTAGAAAATAGTCGAATTGCTATTTTGGAGGATTAGGAACTTCACAGCTTACGAATTTGATCTACGAGATAGGATCAGATGACTTACCTCTTGCTCTTTTTAGAGATGGTGGCAGAGTGAGGGCATACAACCACCTTTTTCTACTGTTCCATTCAAGCAGTGGGGTTAGACACGGTTGCCTAATCTCACCATTCCTCTTCAACTTTGCCATCGATGACATTCTGTAAACAGCTCTGATGGATGCAAGTAATGGTGGTGTGGATCTGTTGCCTGGAGAAAGACTTCTTGACCTTGAGTATGCAGATGATATTGTCTTACCGTGCGTTAATACCCAAGCCATGGAACCCGCACTTAATCAGTTGGCAATCTATGTCCGTAGATATAGTATGTGCCTTGCACCTTCGAAGTGCAAAGTACTTCTACAAGACCGACAGGATCCTAATCCTGTACTCACCCTGGATGGTGAGCAGATAGAAGTAGTCAAGTAGTTCGTGTATCCAGGTAGCTGTATAAGTGCTGGTGGTGGCGTGAGTGATGAGATCGATTCACCATCTTGAAACACCGAATTTGGTGGCTTGGACACATCTTATAAATGTCGTCTCAGAGAATTCCACGTCGTGCGTTATTTGCCGACGCTGGGACTGGTTGGAAGAAGCGGAGAGGTGGTCAGTGTATGACATGGTGTCGTGTTATGAATGAAGGCTGTACAGGACTGGCTTCTGTTGGTCCCTCATGACTCCCTGGTTGTGGTCCTAGAGACGGTGCAACACAGTGGCTAGAGATGCTTTCATATATGGCTCAGAATAGAAGCCAGTGGTGATCCTGTTGTAACCTCCTTTTACTTTCTTCATAAAAAGTGGTTGTAACTTTCTTAACTGAAAGAATTCTTTCTGGTCGTACCTTTCCGTTTTCCCCACTATTATTATTACACTACCATACACTAATCTGTGGTCGTTATTGTTCTCTCTTTTTTTCTTACGCGCACCTTGCATTCTTTATCTCTTCCCATTCTCAGTGTTTTGTGTGGTGCACATATATCTGGTGCCCCCTTGTACCAATATTTATGTGTTCAAATAAATAAATGGGAAAGTTTCGGACTTTTTAGTATCTATGTTAATGTAGTTCATGATCACAACCTCTTCATTCTCCTGTGATTCACAGATTTTAAGTACTCCAAATATTTTTAAATAAATCACCGATCATACTACTTTGTGTTCTACAAAGAAATCCTAGACGGCATATGCCTTGTTAGCTGCTGTGGAAAGAGACAACTTGCACGTAGAATAATAATCCGCCCTCCTCATATGGTAAAAGCTTTAATGCTAGAACTCCTCAGAAGGCACACAGTCGGTCTACCAATGCTCTTTATGACTGGCATCCCAGTTTACCAGTGTTAGGCGCATGATTTTGGTGAACTATTTGTTTCTTCTGTCCTAGTAATTTTAAGAGCATGAATATCTGTAGGACCTTTAACACCCACCAAATTATAAAATTGTACCTTTGATAAGTCAGTCGATCGAAGTTACTAAATGATTGGTTGATAAGCAAAAACTGACTGCCAGGGTGGGACTTAGATGTGTTACACTGTGCATCATGAACAAATCAGTCAGATCAAAGCAAATTCTGACTGTTTTGGTCTTTACACGAGGTGGTTTTGTGGGCAGTCAACAAGGCGCCAAATAATACCCAATGATTTAAGTTTTGATCAAGACGTCTTGATGATAGGTTTATGACGAAACGCCTGGAGAAATCTAGGGAACTAAATTGTATGAGGTTATTTTTCGCTGACATGTATCGCATTCACCAAATGGTTAGTATTTCACTATGCTCGAAGAAAATCTATGTTCGGATTCATAAGAAGCAAAAATTTTCATTCGTTACTCTTGAACAGATAAACCTGTACATTTTTCACTTATCTTTGCTATATGACGGGAAAAGTAAAAATTCAGTTGATTCACGCATTATGAGTTTTGTTCGACGTTACTTCCGTTTTGATTCCATGTGTTGATTATTCAGTCCAGTATTTGTTTTGTTTACTCGTATTATATTTTAGTCTGTATTCAATTGGCATGAACTATGCTCAGCATGTGATTTGTTATAACTCCAAGTATTTTTCATATATATGATTTCATCCTAATTATTAATCAAAATGGGTGTACAGTCAATATATAAATGAATATTTTTTTCGACTAGAGTGGTCTTCGTTGTGTTTTGAGGTATAAGTGATTATAAGTGATAAACGTTTTCGACATAACAATCAGCGACGACCAAATATAACAAACAGCGTTCAAAACGACAGGACATTTCAGGGGTGACGGGGGTTTCGGAAAAAAAGAAAGCAATAACAATTCGACGATGGAAATTTTAGAAAAACAGAAACCACAACAATCGCCGACAGAGTTCATTTGCAAGTTTCAGTTTCCAAAATAACTGTCTGGTTCTGACTATAACTCACTTGTTAGTTTAACGTACCCTAAATCCTTTTTCCTCAGTTATAAACATACTTCTGCTTCTATTTATCAAGTCACTGTTGCAACAAACGACGCAGATACTGGTGTAAGAACATGACAATTTCAGTCAAAGAAGTAAAATTAATGCTTCAGTTTAATGAGGATGTGCTCACTGAATCTCGTTTAATGATCAAAAGTGCACTGAAGGAACACATTCTCAAACAATCAAATCTGGAATCGCACTAAAAAATTATGGACATATTTAACGAGGTAACTGTTGCATCTCGTGACGTAATATGGAACAGTTTTGTGATTGAGGAAGAGGTCAACGAATCCTTTATTAGTGTTGACTCTGGGCAATGTCCGAATGCTCTTTTATCAGATTTCTCTCATTCTAGTTATCCAGTCATCTCAAGTGAAATTTAAAATAATCGTGAGACAAATGATTCAAAAGAATCGATTTCTGATCAAATTCTTAGTGCTATCATTCCAGATGCTGAATATTTTAATGATTCATTGGTTTCTAATGAAGTCTTTAGTGAATTTGAGAAAAGTATTTCAAATGATTCAAATTCTGGCGATATTATAATAAATGTTGTTTGTTCTCACAATTCATTCATTTCCTGTGATAACCAAGGAAAATGGGAAGTTTCCAGCTTGTTACCCTCTCTGTTTATAGTAATAACTATATCTTTCTCTAGAAAGAAGTAGTTTTATTTTCGACGTCTGAATGCTTAAAGAGAGCAGCCACGATGGCTAATTTATTTCTTGAGACTATGGATTGGACCTCGCCGAGGTAATGATAAGGTCTCGTTGATGTTGTCCATGGTATTTATGAATCAATGTTTTATTTAAAACTGTCCTAGGTGCTCTGAAAAAGGTAGAACTTAGTCCCATGAACCGGTGCTAAAAATTAGGTGGAAAATGGGCTCACTACAATTCTGACGGAACTAGTGGAGATCTGACTAGTCCTTCATTCTATAATAAATATGGAGCACATAGAAGACGTGTAACAAAGATTAATGTGATACTCAGAACTGGCGAATAAAATCATTTCTCTTAGCGCATGACTGGATTATCTCTAGAAAGGTCTATATGTTCAAGTAGAAGCTAGAGATGCTCATAAACTGTGCGCAACAATTTCACATGGGCCGATACTAAACTTGTTTGAGGTATGAGCATAGAAGAGCAGATCGTCATTAAAAAGCCCTTCATCCGATGACTTAAAGGTAAGAACTTCACTCATTTACCACTACTATTGGACTCCAGGATAGTTCAGCAAAGACAAATTTAATCCACACTGACGTTTGTACATAATATGGATTGCTCAGGTCTCTAGCCCATGCTTTCTACACATGCATGTAACACACATTTGCGATAGAAATATCAACGTCCTAAACATTTTGTTGCTCTCTTGGCTTCTCAGTGGTCACTAAGTTTTCGGATAGGAATATCCCTGGCCTGGCTACACATGAGTAGACTAGTAACATGCCAGTTTGTTGAGTAGTTGTGGTTGTCACTGAGTCATTGACTGTTACGAGGCGCATCTTCCGAACCTTTGTACCTCACACTCTGAAACGATGGGCTGACGAGGAGAGCCAGAATGGCATCTAGCACCGGGTTCAATATTAATCTGTATTTACTCTACAGTCATCTAGAATGGTAGGAAAAAGATTTAGGTTCGCTTTTATTGCCCTCACATTTTCATAGCCTAATTAACAATGGTACTCACTAAACTATCCCTACTTCATTCACTATGACTGCTATGACTCAGCCAGCCGCATTAAGTTTAGTCGAGCAAAACTCACCCTAATTATCAAGCTCTACCTTGCTCGCTAACATTTTTTCACACGTGAAACATTCAAATTTATTGATCGGCGGTCAGCTGCTCGCTTAATGAATAATTTGTTTCAATCACACATAATAAACACACGAAGTTATCCCCAGGAGCGCTACCTAAACTCTCAGGCTCACAAGACTTCTGAAATTCGTCAGCAGGCGGAGTGTGATCTCCTTTTTTACACCATAATATTGGTAGCCCCATAAAAAGTTCAGTGTTAGCCTTTATGATCAATCGACCGCGG